GTCCAACCTTATTATACTTAAGTGTACATTTATATTTCCGACTTACATTCAATCTCAATTATCAATCATTTTAACTAGTGAAAGTTTCAAATTTGTTGAATAGTTGGTTTGTGGGTACATATGGGCATGAGCATGTTTATCCTAGGTTTGCAGAATGGTTTAAACAATTTGTAAGTATTAGTGAAATTTATTTCAATGAAAATTATTATCACTTGTATGTACTTTTTAATTTCTAATTAACTGTATTGGGTTCGATCTAGGTTCATAATATAGATAATGGCGTAAACGATCCATTTTTGCTTGACATTGCTTGGGGACCTAGCCTTAAGGTCAGAATGATGTCTAAGTACTCCGTCAATGGGTACAAGTTTCATACAGAAGAATGGTCCAAGGGCAAAAAAACTAATAATAGTGGCGTGTGTGTGAAAGTTGATGGTGATGTTGATTATTATGGTGTGCTTCAACAGATATTAGAACTCGAGTATAGTGTTGGTTGGCCGAACAAAATGTTAATACTCTTTCAGTCTAAATGGTATGATCCAACACCTACTATAGGTACAAAGGTGCATCCTCTGTATAAATTAGTTGAAATAAAGCACACAGGAAGGACTAGACTCTATGACCCATTTATTATAGTACAAAATGTGAAACAGGTATATTACACACCTTATCCTTTGTGCAAGAAGAAGGTTGCATGATGGGTAGTGACAAAAACAAATCCTATGGGTAGAGTTGAGATCGAGGATGCATTAGATGTAGCGTACCAGAATGGCATTTCAAGTGTTGAAGCAATGGTAGATGATGAACTAGCAAGTGAATTGCAGGATAGTGAAGGCCTTTATGAGAAATTCGAGCCTTCAGTCCTTAGATCAAATCAAAGTGAGTATGAGGAAGGAACATCCATGGCAAACGAGGATGGATATTCAAGTGATGAATATGAAGAAAGCAAGGAAGAAGAATAATACAATGAAAATGAAAAAAGCGATGATGAAAATGAATATGATCAATATGAAGAAAGCGATGAGGATTGAGTTATTTGTGTGTTTTATGACTAGTTTGATTTCTTATGTTATTCCTTATGTTATTATTATATTTTTATATGTTGTTGGAATTTATATATGTTCTTTTTTTTAATTGCTATAATATGTAGAAGAAATACTTTATATTATTACTTGTTATTTGTTTTATTATTATATTTTATTTTACTTAAATTGCATAGATGGCTTCTAAGGGTAAAAAACCGAAATAATCTAAGAAGAAAAAAAATTACTTTGCCATCTACGAGTGATCACATTCCTTCACACATGCCTAGGATGTGTCCTCCTCCTAGTTTTCCTCGTCCTTCTCAGTCGACGACTTCGTTACCACCTAAGTTTTTCAGAGTCCCCCTCCCCCGGCTAGCACAGTACAGTATTATTCCATGCCGACCCAGGGTAGTTTAGACTCCACTACTATTAATTTAATGCCCACTCCTAATTTTTCACCTTTGAGTCATCGTGTCCCTGCAAGTCAGCATGATAACTCACCATTCATTCCATCCGAGGACGGGCATTACAGTCAGCATGATAGTTCATCTTTTGTGCCTCCATCATCGTCCACTCCATTATCATATCCATCATCATCTACTCCTAGTATTTCTAGACTAGATATTGGAGGATCTCAGGCAGATGCATCCCCATCTACTAGTACTACTTTAGTTGCTCCTTTACGGAGACAGTATGCTAGTGGGATTGTAGAGTACTATCATATGTATCGATTGATTATCGTACCCCATGAGAACGGGTAAGTAATTCTTTAATTTTAAATTATTAAAATAAAGATCTACATATATTTAACGAATGTTTATTTTACATATAATGCAAGTTTTTGCCGTCCTTTTAGGCCACACATATGGTTGTGGAAGTTATGAATCCATTTTTTATGAGCCGTAGAATTCCCGAAGAGAGATTCCATAACAAATCAGAGTGAATATGTGACTTCAATTTAAGGTACAAATAAATATAATTTATATAATATTTATTGTGTTCGTCTAACTTTTGTTTTAATTGCAGACTAAGTGTGTATGGCAGCCTCAACATGAAATTCAGGTGAATGCTAATTTCGAGAAGAGAGCTCAGAAAATGATTAAAGATACTCATTTTATTGCAAGAAAAGGTGGGAGCATGCCTTTATGGTTGCGTGAAGATGTCTCGCTTCAACTATCGAAGAAGTGGTATACCGAAAAATGAAAGCAGAAGAGTGAAAAAGAAAAGGCAAACAAAGCATCCAGTAAGGGTGGCTCATTGCATACCGTAGGTTCAATCAGTTTTGCGGCCCATCGATTGAGATTGGTAATTTATTTATAAAATATTACTTAGCTTTACTTATATGAGATTCAAGTAATAAACTCATATTTTTAATTTTGAAAGAAAAAGGCACATTGGGAAAATGTGTCTCATGCTACTGTCTTTGAGGAGACATATAAGAAGAAGCAGAAGGATGGTACAAGAGAACGATGGGTCGAACCGCATGCATCAGAGACATATGTAAGATTCTAAATTCAATACTACCTTTATTCTTGGTTAAGATTAATTCGTTTATATAATATTTGTCAACAACATTTCAAGAAGGGTATCAAAGAAAAATGAAGGAGCGACAACAAACTCAGCCCGATTCTCAACCGACGCCTGAAGATATGACTTCGATATGGACACAGGCATCCAGTGGAGTAAATAAAGGTATAAAATATTTTAGTAATTTTTTAGATATGACTTCGTTTTAATATTATTTTGCACAAATTGTATATTTTTTCTAACCGTGGAAACAACTTCTTGCAAAAATGTAGGGTAAGGCTGCGTATAATAGACCATTGTGGTCCGGCCCTTCCCCGGACCCCGCGCATAACAGAAGCTTAGTGCACCAGGATGCTTTGTATGTTTCTTCTCTTGGTCATTTAAATTTTTTTTTATTTGTCATGAAAATAAATAAAGGTAGAGTCTACGGACTTGGAGTGCAGCCATCGTCTAGTCGTCCAGTCGCATTATTTAGTGGTGCTTCTGCTTCACCCGAGGAAATTGAGACTATGCGGACGCAAATCAATGAATTGTCTCAACAATGGAACAACGCTCAAGAAACAATAAGTATGATGCGGACATTCATGGCAAATCATGAAAAACAAGGTCATACAATTGAAGAATCTAACAATGAGGAGACTGAAACCGATGAGGATCGGTAGTAATTTGGATTGTATAAGAGGATATTTAGATTTGATTAGTTGTTACAAAACTTTGTTCATTTTAGTCTTGGTGTAATGTGATTTTGGTTGAAAACTTTAGATTTTTATGTGGTTTAATAGAATAGGTGGTTTTGTTATGTTTAAACAAGTTTGATACTTATTGTTTTAGGTTCTATTGATAGAATATTTGTGATATTGGCTGTTGTGTATTGGTAGTTTGATTTGGCAGGGTGTGACTTAAAATACAACGGAATTCTATTGTATTTTACCAAATTTTGTGACTGATTTCGGACCAAAGTGGTCGGAAATTGGACCTAAAAAATCTCAAATTTGAGGCTGAAGTGGTCAGAATTTTAATTAATTATTTTTAATTTCTTAATTTCTGACCGATTCGGTTGGAAAATTTAAATAAAATAATAAATAATAATTACATTACCGACCAAATCGGTCGGAAAATTTAATATATAATTAATTTATATTAATAATAGTTCGACTGAATGAGTCCCAAATATACCGACCAAAGTGGTCGCAAACATTACTTTTCATCTGGTCACCAAAATGGTTGGAAGCTTGCTACCAATTCCGTCGCAAATATTTTGCGACCAACATTTTTTCAACCACTTGAAATCCGTCGGAAATAAGAGATTTCCGACTGATTTCGTGGTCAACAATTTTGCATTTTCTAGTAGTGTGACTCTATAGTACTCTCCAGTGTTATATATCACGGTGGATGCATTTTCCTTACATGTATTGTTTTTTTAATTCAATTAAAGATCAATTAATTTGTATTTTTCAGAATTTAACATAAATTTACAAGAAAAATATAGAAAACCCACAAAGTGTACATGTATATCTATAAAAAAACAAATATAGTGGACTTCATAAAAATTAAGTATATCTATACAGAGAAATATTTTGAGTCTTGATGTTTTGTAAAATAAATAGATTTTCGGGAAAGGTAAGGAAACTCTATAGTAATGTTCATAACAAGGATATTCAGGTGGTATTGAGAAAAAAATTGAGGGAGACAGTAAAATAGGGTTGGGTGGTGAGGTGGCATGCCACATGGCGTCCACCTCAGCAAAATATCAGGTCATGTGGAGGTCCCTAACGACAGGGGGGTATTTTTGTGCCTATTTTATAATGTCAGAGGCTGAGATAGACTGATAGTATAACAGAGGGTATAAATAATTCTTTTCACATTATAGAGGAATATTTTTTACCCTTTTCCATAATTTATATGACAATTTTCATTTTTCAAGATCTAAAACCATATGAATTGACCAACGTATTAAAATATATATTTTTATTATATTAACATGAAAAGAATTGCAACTTACTTTTCGAGAAGCAAAAAATGCTACGTAAATTGGGATGAAGGGAGTAATGTCTTACAAGTTACATCCAATGATCCAAGTGAATTCCTTAGCAAACCCATTAATAAGCATTGTACTTCAGCAGTTTTAGTTTAAAAGTCTGTCAATTCTTTTACACAGATATTCTGCCTGTGAGCTAGGAAACATGTGCATGTTACTTATGAACTAAGAATAAGATTACAATATTTATCCTAGCGCACAGCCGAATTGATCTTTCATATTTAATAGAACTCTCTGTACCTATTGTTTGATAAAACTCTTTCTACATCTTTGTGACAAATTGCCTCAAATAATGTAGTGCAAAAACTGATATTTACTGCTAAACTGTTTGAATGCAAAAAAAGGTTCTTTTTATAATTCTAGAGCATTAGCCTTTCTTAATTGAATATTACTCCAGTACTACAAGGGGCTCGCAATACAATGCAATACTGTAAATTTGACAAGATAAATGTTGTACAAACTCAAAGATCAAATAATTTACAATATAACAGTGTTATTCCAATACAAATTGGCAATCCTAAGAATAAAATATTTTGCCAAGTTTGATCTTCATAAATTCTGGTAGGTAATACCTAGAAAGGGTCAAAGGTTTCTGCTTTCTCTTTTTTGCCAATGAACCTTCTGAAGATAACTACCTAGGCCCTCCTTCTTTCTTTTCCTCCTTCAGTTATTCTGTTTAGAGTCAGCTTTGAACACACAGAGGGACAAGTGTAGAATAGAAAATGATGAAACTGTATACAAGTACAATGAGACCTTCTAATCTGTTAACCAGAAGAAGAAAAATAAGAAAAAAAAATTATTCAGCTCTAAACATTCAATCATCACTACGACCATGATAGTTACTCACTCCTCAACTGGCGAAGATCCAGCTGCATCAAAACCATCAAGGTTTCTATGTTAAAATGGAGGAAAAGTAGAGGCACTTAAGTAAATGAATGGCCACATATGAAACTAGATACATATATAAGTCATAATTTGTAAATAAAATGGACGTGGACTTAATCAAAAAATTAGTTCAAAAGATGATCATTGCTAAAGACCATATAAGGAGATGATAGTCCTTCCCTCAACAATGTGAGACATTCTAACTCCCACTCCACGGCCACATGCGTATGACTGAACATGATCTAGAGCTACTTGTGAAATTGAAATTTTGATAAGAGTGTTCAATATTTAATATATTGCATAAAAAGATAGTATTTCATCCATATACACAATATAATCCAACAATAGGAATGAGTTAGGCTCATATGATGAAAATGGACATCAGATCTAACTCAACTCCAAATGTAGACCATGAGATAAGGATGACCTAAGACTATATAAAGAGACAACAACTCACTCCCTCGAGCAATGCGGAAAATTCTAACATAATCGATCATCTTAGAAGAATATTGAGAAGTGTAAATAAAAGAAAAGATGAGAATAAAAAGAATAGCTAACCAGAAACCACGTCTTGACGATCAGCAGGTTGATCTCTCTGATGATTCTCCATGCACTGCATGAGGAACTTGAAAGTCTCAATCTCACAAGGTATAGTGAGTCCACCAGTATGATCAAACCCAAACTCTTCCTCAACTTTTTCAAGCAACAATTTGAACAATGGATCACTAAGATAGCTAGTGGGAATTATAAACCTCCGAAGCTCTGGTCCAACATAAACAGCTAAATAGCCTCTAGGGACACCATGGGGTGGCTCTGGACTTTGACAACTCTCCTCATCCGAATCACAATATATATTGTAATTCCTTAGCCTCATACTAATGGAAGGTGATATTCCTCCTGGGGAATTGCTACCGCCATTCGATGATGATCCAAGATTATTATTATTATTATTATTATTATTGTTGTTTCCCTTGGGGCCAAGTGTGGCGTTTTGCCATTTGCTTAGAAATTCTTTCAGTCTTACAATCTGCTTAATTCCAGTCACTTTGTTTCCTCCTTGCTCATCCATTTTCTTTTGCTTACCACGGCAAGATTGATGATGAGAAGAAAATCCAGCTGGGATTGGTTTTAAGCCCTTAGGCTCTTGGAAAATTTGACTCATCGGATCTTGGTTTTAGCTGCATTTTATAAAGGAAAAAACATGCATAAGGTGTCAGTTTCTGTTTCATTTTCAATTTTCTTGGCAAGCAAGGACGAGGATTCTGACACGGAAAAGTTAGCTATAAAAGCTTAGGTTTAATTATCACCACTTATGAATGCATGCAACAGGCTGATTCCCTTTTAAATGTCTACACAGCGTTGATTAAACTTTAAAACAAAAAAAGGGTGACAGATAAACAATGTTTAATAATAATAACAATAACAAAATCGGCTATATATATTTTCATCTTGCATGTCACTCCATTTAAGCCCATCTCAACTCAATATTATTAAAAGTTAGATTTCCTAACACTCATTTGATCTGTAATTTGAAAATCTGGAGAGTGTATTGTGTCTAGACATTGTTCTTCGACTCTGATTTCCTTAATATTCCTTTCATTTAAAAAACGAATGAGGAATTCAGGGACAAACTCCTACATCATTTTTTAGTTCTTTTAATAAAATTTACTATTCAGAATCTATAAAACAAACATTATAAATAGTAGTTTTTACAAGTATAAGTATTTCTAGAATATTTTAAAAGATCATAGTAAAAGAAAACCAGATGATCGAATGTCATAAACAATAAGAGTACCAAATACAGACGGAGGAGAATTATTTTAATGCTTCAATCCATGTGACATGTTAATAGCATATAATTAGTCATGATATGCCAAGGAGGAAAAGCCTCTTTCCATCACATGATCGGCAGCTAATGCAATCATTTCTGGCAAATAAAGCCATCTTTTTTATATTGTAATACATATTCAAGGACATGAATATATATTAACTAGCATTTACAGCAAGCAATCATCGATTGAAACAAGACCATATATATAAGCTGATCGACTGCCGGTGGCATAAAGCTAATTGCTTTTCTTTCTTTAATGTTTTTTATTTGAAAAACACCTTTGTGTTGCTCTTTCGATTCAAAAAGGAGAAACTGAGAAAATAAGTTGAAGATAAAGTTCATTTATTTAAAAAGATTATGCTTTAATTTCTTGCATAAAGACAGGAATTTCCTTAAGATGCTTTCTCACTGACTCGGACAAAATCTTGGGAAACTTTAAAGGGTCAAAAGTATTGGTATTATTATAAGTAAAATTATTGGATTTTGAATAGCGCAAGAAAAATAGTTTCACCCTGAATCAAGAATCAAATATATTATAGTAGTACGTAGAAGAATTAAAAATTACTCCTATAAGTGATCATTTCATGTCTTCTTTGTGGTACGCTTCTTTTTATGAACAATCATAATGGAAGTAATTAAGAATATGGAAAAACAAAAATGCCTTCGACCCTAGCAATTCATACAAAATGTAAGCAAAATGAAGAAAACGATTTATCTGTACATATCGTTTTTTTTTTTTTTGTGGAATTAATAACATCAATAAAATCCATTAAATAAAATTTATTGGCACAATTAAATTCGAATAAATAAAATGCTTGACCAATTAAACACAAAACGAAGCAAAAAACAGATTTTCAAATTTTGCAATTACCAGAACAGGGTGAACACCGTTGGGGAGGCCTAAATTAATGGAAGGAAGCGATAAGCAAATTTATTATGGGCCCCGAAACGGTTTCTGCATTCAACAGCTTGTGGCGACAATAGGGAATGCCATTATATGACTCATAAGAAAATATCAACAAAGGGAACTTCGGAGGAGGAGAAGGTTGGAAGAGTTGGGTTAGAAGTTATTGATTTTTCAGAATTCTCTAAATGGAATAATGATTCTGAATAACAATGATAGAAGCAATTTACAATTTCTACAATTATTAGTCACCCTTATTTTTCGCAGCTATTTTCTCTTTAACCTATTGACTTCACCAATATTTTCATTCCTCCTAGTTGCTTCCTTCCTTTCCCATGCTCCTCTTTTTTTTCTTATTTACTCTATGCCCACGTTGAAGTCTCGAATAAAAGGGAAAGTAAAAAATCAAGAACGTACTAACACGGAGAAAGTACATGTTAAGTAACCTTTTTTTTTTCCTGTCCCTAGATTTTGAAAATGTATAAAGCAAAATTGGTTAGTGACAATTAAACTAATGAAGAGATGATACGAAGATAGGTTGGATGTCAATAATGTTTACAATGTTGGATGTTGCACCCTATTTTGTACGAGTCAAAACAAAATTCAACTAGTGGTTTCCCTGTTGATAATAAAAGAGAGTTGCCACCTAATATTTAAAGGTATACTAGGGTACCTATTTAATTACTAAAGTAATTCCTCTATCAATCTACTAACTAGTGAGATTTTGGGTAAGGGTTCTTGTTCTCTTAAGGGGAAGGTATTAGGCACCCCTTAAAATCAACCTGAGATAACTCCATAGGGCTTTGACTAGGTTTAAAGGATTAGTTATCTATACTTTGCTTAACTAGTGTTAAAGGTATGGCATACTATATATATCTAATTTAGAGTTTAATGCTTGAAAAGAGATTAGGTAGTTTTTTTTAAAAGGATATAAGTTTATAAAAGCCTTAAAGAGAATGTTTGTATGATTGAAAGAGTTTGAAGTATGTATATAATGTTTGTAAAAAATTTGTAAGATGTGGCTAAGTTACAAAGCATTGTGTCCTTAAATGAATATGGCTATTTATGTAACTCTAGTGAAGTAAGGGCATTGTAAAGAAGTGGGTCTAAGATATACCTTGATTTTAGAATCTCATTTACTTTGAAGAAATCGTTGGAAACCCTTTAACCGGGCAGCGACACTTGTTTAATTTTGTAGAAAAACTCGATTTTAGAAAGCCAATTTTCAGATTCCGTTTCTAGTTTTGAAGATTGTCATCCTTTGCTAAAGTTGTTTGGCTTCAAACGGACTTCATAAAATTGTTAATAGATATTAATAGTATAAACAGTATATGATCTAGCGAATTATAACTATCTACTACTAAGTCTAACACTTTTTTTTAATCCTATGTCTTTTAGGGCTTCCCTAGATTGTTCACATGATTCAAAGAGATAAAGTAAAGCATTCAATCTAATATGATAAGTGTTATATATACATGTGGAAAGTAAGGACAGTAAAATTTAATAAAGCGATAAAAGGAAGAGAAATGGACTCTGGTTTGGGCCTGAAAAAAAGCAGGCCCAACAAGTAGCAAGAACGGACAATAACAAACTTCAGACTCCCAAATGCGCAGGTGCAGGACTTGGGCCTAAGTTCTTTGAGAACTCGGTGGGCCCAATGGTAATACATGTTCAAGAAAAGAAAGAAAGTCATTAGATAGGCTACTTAGAGTGCATAATTATATATGCGATAAATTAATATGGGCCTAAGACAAATTACAGTAACCAATAACAATCCGGAATATGAAAATTAAACTAGTGTGGAGTCATATTTGGCAAAGTGATTCACATTGAAAACTCTTTGTCGTCATTAAGCACTAAACCTAAAGGGAGTAATAAATGTCAATAGATTAGAGGTTAAGGGTAGAGTTCCATCCATGGCCAAAGTACTCTTTGGATCCCTGACACTTCAAAGTTTTCAAGAGTCTCAAGGCCCTGGGCAGTGCTTGTGTCAAGGAGAGTAGCTCAACCAAGAGCTAAACTCTACTCCCAAATACCCCTAACTACTCACATTCACTCTTCCCTACAGGTTTAGATGCCAATGAGGCACTCAATGTAAATTCCCATATCACAGTGATACCACACCATATGAGTATATATATTTCTCATAATAGCCAGTACAGAATACTATAAGATCATAAGAAAGCCAATGTACATTGTTGTAGCCACATTTCAAATCTAAGTATATGATTCACTATGAATAACATGATATGCTAGTTATGCCCAAAGAAATCAGCTTCAAGCACACATAGAGACAAGGGCATTATCAAATTACTGTTAGGAATCCAAATACTTGGATCATATGTCTTAAGAATAGAGTAAATGCATGGTTCAAACCGATAAAGTCCCTGGGCATAGACACATTCCCTTAATAGCCTAAGTCTTAACTTCTAGCATGCATACAAGTTAACAATCTCAATTAAACTTCTAAAAAATATTAATAGAGATCTAAGCTAACCACTTCAATTAAAACCTCTAAAAGTATTAACAAAGATACAACTTAATAACTACACTTGAAACTTTCTAAAGAGTATTAATAGAAATACATGTTAGAGATTAAATAAGAACTTCTAAGATTATTAACAGAGTTACAGAGTAACAACTTCAATTAGAACTTCTAAAGAGTATTAACAGAGTCTCGGGCTAACAGTCATGTATCATTCTAAACAAATGGCATGATCACTTCTCTATAAAAGCTCTTAGCTTCATACTAATCTCATTGGAGAATAAAGCATGCAATTATACAGAAACAGTAGCAACAGAAGACTCACCTCAGGTTCATAGGTTAGACCTAGTTCATTTAAGTGAGCTTAATGAAGTTTTAAGGACAGTGTAGGCATGTATATGATTATAAAAGACAAGCAGAGGTATTTGAAGAACAAATAAGTGCAGAGTATCCAAGTGAACACAAACAGGATACACTTAGAAGAAGTCATATTATTACAAACATGAATTAGGATGTTATCATCATAGAATCAGGCTAACAATGTCACTATATGAGTTTCAAAAAGGGGTAAGGGTATCATTACATTAGGGAATCTGTTAAACAAGTCAAGTATGGGATTTCAGGCAAAATGAAACCTAATTGTAGCACTTTAGCACAACAGATGAAGCATCAGAACATGAACATATTTTAACCAAACTATATAGCTTAAGTTAAGTATGTGGTAACTTTCAGAGTACACATAAAAGGGACACAAGGGTCCAACTAGCTTAGGATATGCTTACATAATGTATTCAAGCAGTCATGAATTTAATCAGATGAATAATGACCGTCAAAAGGTTAACAGAATCACAAAGGCATGCCAGAAAGAAGAGATGGGTTCAATATCATGAACTGGTATTCCAAAATCAAGATGACAGTCTTATTTTATCACTAAGCAAGTTCATAATTCACTTAAGTCTAATTTTTTGAGATGAACCACTACAAATACAAGTAATATCTAAGGAAAATTTGTATAACAATCATGATAGTTCTAATAACCATCAAAGGGTCTGAAACTAGAAATCAGGATCATATGAGAGCTCTAAGACTGTTTTCAAAGCTTAACAGCAGAGATAAGACATCAGATGTTCATTGGGGTCAATACGTAATTTTAATTTCAATAACTTAAGAAAATTCATGATTCCAGGATCTATTTAACAACCATATATCATTAACAAATACAAAAACAATCAACCATTAACACTTTATTAACAACATCATTCAGTAAGAGATAACAGAATAATTCATGCTTAGTGATGCAAACAAACAGAAAAAAGAGTAGGGTTGAGGTTTTACTGACCTCCTTTAGGGAAGAAAACCAAACAAGTACTAAATCTATCTGTTTAGAAAGCCAAAAACTCAAAGCCCAATTAGTAAGCAAACTCAGAACCAGAAAGAGAGAGAAAAGTAGAGATTGAGTAAGAACTCAAACTTCAATTGAAAATTTCTAAATGATATTATAGTGTATTAATTTTCTTTCAGATGTTAGGTGTTGTTGGTCGTGTTAGGTGATATCATTTAAGGCTTCTATTTATAGTGGTCATTGAAGCCTTTAGGTTCCAGCAAATTCAAGTTAGATAGTGGAGAGTGATGAAAGATTGATGATGATAGCAAGGCGAGTAATATCAGAGAAACGCAGGGGGGGGGGAATTAT